GCTTAGTCAACACAAGAAGACAAACCTCAGATTACAAGTTGTTTTTTTTTCCCCCGAAAACACCGCACAGATGTTCCCGACCGCTGGCAGCTCTCAAGGCCCGCTGTGCTGTCTCGGGAGTAAACAACGCGTTATTCCTGCTAAGACAGCACCTCGCCGTTAGCATCACCAGCGCCCGCCCACAGATTTCCCCAAACAAGTTTTTCTTCTTTCTTAAAGCCAACGGTACCTTAACTTCCCCCCAAAACACCGAAGAACACAGGGCACCGACCCGCGAAAAAGCCAGATTAGTGACTGAAATCTTGATTATTGTTAAAAGTCGTCGCTAAATTACCTTTAAGAAGCCTCCTGCTAACGGAGACTCGGTATCAAAGGAGAGCTATATTAAGGTGTCTATCTCGGGAAGAGATACTGAGTGTCCAGACGCTGCGCTCTGCACAGTTTAAAGATCCTGATGTCCCAGCTGGCCAACACGCTACTATTTATGTTACACTCGGGATGGCCCATCGGTGACTGTCTGAAGGGGGTCACCGCGCGTTTCATTCTTTCAACCTGTACATATTTCGTGGGCGTGCCAGGCATATCAAACAACACATAATGATATAAGTGATCAGTCTTCTCATTTGTTTCCTTTCGTGCACCGGTTAGTAAAATCTGTGCTACATCTGCATGACGATAATAAGGCGACTCTCCCTCATCTAAAGCCGAAGATGGTACCTGCCGCCTCGAGCACAGTGTTCTTTGTTTACGGATGTGACGCAGGTTGAATCGATCGCCCGAGGAAAGAAGATAAAACAAGGAAATGGTTTTTTTTTATCATTGTTTTGAAGTGTGCAGTACTAAGTGTTGTATTACGGTACCGTTGATAACACAAGCAACCGTTTTGTTTAATTGTGTCGATTGTCAGATAATTCTGAATCCCCTCTTTTTTTAAAAGATCTCATTTTCATCCAGTGGAAAATTCGTTCCTGTCAACTTCACTTGACATTTTTACCTGAAAATGAAAGGAACCGGGCTGTCTGGTCCATCTGGCCTGTTTGGTCGTTAGTAGCTAGTTGATCTGAGGAACCCATCCAGCTGTTTCTTGAGAGAAGCCAGGGTATCATATTGAAGAGTTTAGAGGAGTACCTTGTTCAAAACCCCTACAACCCTTTGTGCAAAAGAGAGCCTCCTGTTCTCAGTTTAAATGCACTTCAACGTGGTGTCTTCTTGTGTCCTCTGGTTCGTGTTTCACTCTTTATTTCAAAGACCCTTGCTGGGTTGACCTTGACAGCGCCTTTGCAGACTTCAAATACATGTGTCGGCTCGTCTCTTAATCTTCTCTGTTCAAGATGAAAAGGGGCTGTCAGTGAAGGACCTTCCCTTAAGCCCCAGAATGTATTTAAGTGCTTTTTTTCTGGACTGATTCCAGATCAACAATATCTTCTTTGATGAATCCTTTGCTTGATTATTTTTGTTAAACAGTCCTCCTTTTGTATGTGAA